TTTAAGGGCGCGGGGCAAACAGGTTACCCAGCATGGTTGCCCAAGGTAATCTCGGAGTAAAAGGATGCATTGTGCCGTCTACGGAGCGTTGGCTGCGCCCATGACTCATACGGAGTGCTGGTGGCCACCATTCTGTCAGTTGAAGACTAGCAACATCACCGTGGCTCCATATAAAACATCGTCTGCCATTTTGGTGTAGCCCGGTCATTGTGGAAGCTCACCATACCAAAGCAATCAGACAGCCATCTAGGCCGCACCTGACCTCCTGGAGGAGTATCGGCTGGCCTTCACTTAAACATGCACTAGAGACTCGCCCAAACCTACAGGTTTAAATCCAACAAGAAGAAGGGAAGAATGAAGAAAAAGACAATTTTTGAAACCTGTGCACTCAGGACTGTTGTAGGCATGGTTGACCATCCCAGCCAAACTAGGCTGGGTTGTGCCATGGTCTTCTGATGCCTATGTCCTGATTATAGAGACCTTCTTGGTCATTACATAGGAAGGGCCTGAATGTAGTGATGACTGTTCTTCTCTAGAAACCAAATAGCCTTTGTGCTCCTAAGAAACCAAATATTTCTTAGAACAGCTGACAGCTTTCCCTTCAGACACAACAGAGGATGCCCATTTCAGGGCCTGATCCAAGTCTACTAGCAGATTCAATAAGGCGCATTAACATTTCTTGATAGCGATCCCACCATAATTGACTGCCTTCTGTCATGACCAAATACTTGTCTCCTTCACACAAAAATGGCCAACAGGCTTAGTAACCTCCCCGCTTCCTAGGCAACTGATGACTTAGCACCATACGCAATGCAACCACAAACCAGCCACCATTATTCTGCATATTGGATGGGAACACCAAGACCAGTAACCCATGTCAACCACATTAAAGTTGACAGCCGCAGCATGAGTAAAAGACCATTTTTGAAAGGTCACTAAGGGTATGGAGTGTTCCTTTAGGCCAAGGGTTTCCAGACTATGGCCCTCCAGCCGTTTCAGTCCCATGAGGCATTGCAAGACTCTGACAGCCACAAACATGACCCCCAGTGGCCGATGGGACCTAAAGTTCTTCAACAGCTTGAGGGCCCTGCTTAATGACATCTCAAAAAATGATGAAGTTACAAAGCAAAAGGACCTGTGTGTGAAACCTCAGATGGAAGTTTCTGCTTGTTGCCCATCTTCTGGACAACAACAATGCTTACTAGAAGCAGTACATGTTCACCTTCACCGGATGTAGTGTAGGAGACTTAGTTCCTTCACTTAGCCCTATCCATTGCTAAAGTAGGCCATACATGGTTTTATTGGAACGGGGAGTGCAGTAAAAACCCTTTTCAAGTCTACTAGCCTTTTTCTAGTGCAAGCATAGCACTGGGTATTGGGTTCAGATTGTGGCTACTAATGGACTTCCTGTATAGAGCCAGAAAAGTGCAAAGACCAGCAGTAGCTCACAGACTTTGAGGCAGTTAAATGCGGTCACACTGGAGCAGCTACAAATCTTCCATGGATGTAGATACTTTGTACTTGAGGGCTCATTCACTCCAGAGAAGTTCACCTGCATCATAAACCTACTACACACCCATAAGGCCATGCATCACATCTTCAGTACAAGCGAGGTTCAACAGTGGGCCAATTTGTCAATGACTGGGTGGAAGGGGCCACAATACAGAAGTGAGCCATTAAAACAGGAACCCAGAAGGACCACTTTAGTTGATATATGGCTTTTGATCTACAGGAACTAAGCTAGCCTACTGGTTTTCATTAATATGAAAAGTGTCCACTTCTCTCAAATGGAAACAATAAGTCCTTTGCTTTGGATTGGATACTATGAGGCCCATCTTACTTTGTACCATTCCTCTCCAAATCCCAAACATCTAACCGGTCTACTTGCTAGTAATCTAGAGTCCTCTTGGCATGTTTGGAGCCAACAAGTCTCTGAAGTGTCTGTCCTACCAGAATCCATCGATCTGCTGAACTGCAGACACGTTTAGAGTCCTCTCGGCATGTTTGGAGCCACCAAGTCTCTGATTACTAGCAAGTAGACCAGTTAGATGTTTGGGATTTGGGGAGGAATGGTTTTTGTGGAGGAATGGTACAAAGTAAGATGGACCTCATAGGAGGCCTTGGAGGTCCTTCAGGCTTTTGCTGTCTGTCCTACCAGAATTCATCGATCTGCTGAACTGCAGACCCTTCTAAAGCCTGAATGACCTCCAAGGCCTCCTATGAGGCCCATCTTACTTTGTACCATTCCTCCCCAAATCCCAAACATCTAACTGGTCTACTTGCTAGTAATCAGAGACTAGGTGGCTCCAAACATGCCGAGAAGACTCTAGGAGGTGCCTGTCCTACCAGAATCCAATCGATCTGCTGAACTGCAGACAGCCTGAATGACTTCCAAGTAGAAAAAATCCAAAATCTATCCGTTGAATGGAGAGAAACCCTTTGTGCTTGGTCTGGGATATAAAATTGGAAGGCAAAAATTTTAATGGAGTGACTCAGCATTCTGAAAAACAAATGAATAAACCTCAACATAAAACATATTCAGCTCCCTCAGGAATATTTTCAAGATTCAGAAAAGCTCAGTGCTAATAACTTTCATCTAGGAGCCCTAAGAGATAGCGATCCATAAATTAAGTACCTAAAAAAAAAAAAAAAAAATCCTCAAAGTTGTAAACTAGACAACACTTAGAAGGATACAGTTGCATAGTTAGAAAGCAGTTTGGAAAATGGCCAGCTTTACCAAGACAGCTCCACCCCGAAAGAGGATTACAGACATTTTGGAAGAAGGGCAGTTGGAAGGGTGCAGTGTGGAAGGTTCTAGTTGACCTATTGTGAAGTACATCTGCTGATGGCTTCTTACAGCTCCAGGGCTTCAGCCAAATCAAGTCAGAGGAGCCAAGCCTGGAGTAAGATTGGTGGGGCAAACGGCAACTTTTCATATTCATAGTAAAGCCCCGGAGACAAGTACAAGTCCTCATACCAGATGCACTAATCCACTCCAAATAGAATGGACAATGGGGTTGGAGGCATGGACAACACGGTTGGAGGAATGGACAACGGGGTTGGAGGCATGGACAACGGGGTTGGAGGCATGGACAACGGGGTTGGAGGCATGGACAACGGGGTTGGAGGCATGGACAACGGGGTTGGAGGAATGGACAACACGATTGGAGATTTCCAGGGTGCTCCGTAATAATGTCAGTTTGGCATTACCAGTTCCTCCATTTGTTATCTTAAAGTCCACCTTCTTGACATTTTTCCGTCTTCTCATTGGACGCCCATACCAACCATTTGGCCTATTTTTGGCTGAAATCAAATCTAGGCAAGAGCCCCAATTCAGTGGAGGTAGGAAATACGAAGACGAAGCCAAAAAAAGAAATAGAAAGGCCTTCTTGGCATCAAGACTACTAGAAAAACAAAGTAGGGTGGAGTTACCGAATACTGGTTCCAATGGTTTGCCTCCACTGGGAGAATTTCTTTGCTGGCATGGCCAAAGCCCAAAATAAAAAGGGGATACATGACAAAACAGGTTCATTAAAATGTTGCCTCAGTTAATTCACTACAGCAGCATCATGACCTGTACACCATCAGAAGAAAAACCAGCTTTGCAAAACTGGTCCGCCATGTTTGTGCCTTGTTACCATGTGTGCATCTATTAAGACCTGAACAATTAGTTCCACTGAAGCAAGTTCCTTTCCCCCCCCCCCCCCCCCCCTTTTTTGCCAGAAAGTCACAGAATTCTGCAATGACCTTTCACAACGCTGCTGTCCTTCATGAAAAAAATTTACAGTCCTTTATCTTGCCTTGAAGCTCGCAAATTTCCACTGACTAGTGGGTACATGGCTTTCAAAAAAAATCCAGAAAAGTATTAAAAAAAAAGCAAAAAACATGATCCTGATAGGTGAGGGATTTTTTTGTGAATTTTTTTTTTCCCAGGAAAAAAAAAAGAAAAAAAGAAAAAAAAAAAAAAAAAAAAAAAAAAAAAAGAAGGGGGGGGGGAATTGGGAAGAGAAAAAATATTCCCACATGTGTACAGAAAACAGTAAAATATTGGGAAGGGCTTGTTTTCCGTAGGTTAAAAAGAAAAAAAAAATTTTTTTTTTTGCATGTATACATACATCCTACTAAAATCACTTTAGGTTTTTGTTGCCTTAACTATCCCATAAAACACTGCATTGTGTCTCTATATTGCAGCAATAACAAGACCTTAGCAGTTTAACAATGTGATTTTTTTTTTTTTTGTTTCATATATTACACAATACAATAAAACATAACAGTGCTGCGACTATGGAGGTCTGTCCCGGCTTTCGCTGCTCTCACGCCATAATAAGAGAACTGTAGTCCAAAAACTCCTCCATTTTGCATATTGAAATAGCCAGCAAGTATTGAAAAAAAATAATAATTTAGCAGAAAAAAAAAAAAAAAAAAAAAAAAAAAAAAAAATGTAACAAGGCGGCTAGGTTGTCCACCCTTCATATAGCGATTCACAGCTCAGGTGAACATAAAAAAAAAAAATAGTTACGTAATAAATATTCAAAAACAGTTACTTCTATAAGGCATCGCTGAGTGTTTTTAGTTTTTAGACATAGTCCATAGAAGAAACTTTTTTTTTGCTATTTAAATCAGTGATCTTCATTTGAAATACGTGTTCTTTTAAGTTGCAGAGAAAGACAGGATGGGCAAAAAAAAAAAAAAAAAAAAAAAAAAAAAAAAAAAAAAATCTGAATCAACATCATCATCTTGTATATCCTTCTTTCCAGCGAGAACACCTTCTCAGGATGCCCAAAAAAAGTTTTACAAACAAAAATAACTTCCAACTTTACTCCTGAAACTGAAATTTTAGGGCACAGCTTGTGAATCTTCTGCATTTCTGGTGTTAATATTTTTTTTCTGATTTTTTTTTTTTTTTTTGCTGCGCTGAAGCCATCTCCTTTCTCTCGGTTGATTAAAAAGAAAGAAAAAAAAATATATCAAAATTTTTACTGAACTTTAGTGTTCTGATCTCACTGCATCCGGTCGGGTTGAAGTTGTGTCGGTTGGTACTGGATGAAGGCGGTAGGGGGCGCTCCGGTGGCTGTGGCGGACATGGGTTGCTGGACAGCGCCGGTGTAGCCGTAGCCGACGTAACCGGCAGCAGGCGAGGCTGCGTAGGGATACTGTTCATAGGCCGCCGTGGTGTAATGTGTGTAGCCTTGTGTAGCAGCATTGTACTCAATGTATGGAGAAGGCAGGGACTGGAGAGGCGTTGGGATGACCACGCTGGGCTGGATGAGGGCAGGCGGGTAGATGTACTGCGGGGTCAGCCTGGAAAAAGAGAGAAATAAATTCAATCAAAATGTCGGTAATTGGCAAAAATACATTGCAGTGAAAGAAAAAAAAAAATAATAATAAAAAAAAAATAATTTTTTTTTTTTTTTTTTTTTTTTTTTTACACGCTTTATAAATATAAATTATATATATATATATATATATATATATATATATATATATATATATATATATATATATATATATATATTTTTTTTTTTTTTTTTTTTTTTTTACACGCTCATTGTGAGGATACATAGCTACAAAAGGTGAGAGAAAGAATAAATGAAACATCTGCTTACATATATAAATATATATATATTCTTATTTAAAGTGCTAAGTACCTGTAATAAATAAAAATAAATTATTAAGAGAACCCCTCATAAAGGGCACAGCGGGTGTACAGAGGCGGGAACTCAGCACAGGGATGGTGGGAGCCCCTCATAATGGGAACAGGAGGTGTACAGACCGGGGAACTCAGCACAGGGATGGTGGGAACCCCTCATATTGGGCACAGCGGGTGTACAGAGGCGGGAACTCAGCACAGGGATGGTGGGAGCCCCTCATAATGGGAACAGGAGGTGTACAGACCGGGGAACTCAGCACAGGGATGGTGGGAACCCCTCATAATGGGCACAGCGGGTGTACAGACCCGGGAACTCAGCACAGGGATGTTGGGAACCCCTCATAATTGGCACAGCGGGTGTACAGACCCGGGAACTCAGCATAGGGATGTTGGGAACCCCTCATAATGGGCACAGCGGGTGTACAGACCCGGGAACTCAGCACAGGGATGATGGGAACCCCTCACATTGGACTCCAGCCACAGAGTACAACAGACTGTAGAGCGGTTCTGCAGGGGCAGCGATGATCCAGGATCTATGGCCAGCTTCCCGGCATCCCTGCTGGGAGTGTTAGTCTGCTTCCTCTTGGCTCACCTCCCCATAACCTCTCTGGTTGTCCCTTCACAAAAGAAAGCCAACACAGGTTGTGTCTCCCCGGGTGTCCTAATCCGTGTCGGTGCCCCTCCCCACATCTGTCACCTTTCTCTCCGGCCCGGATCGGGAGCTTGCCAGAATAAAAGGCTGTTGTCTATGCTCTGCAAAATACAGGCTGACAATCTGTTGGTTGTCAGATGTAGGGGAGAACCCCCACCTTGGTTCAAATGCCATAACAAAGAAGGCATGAAAGGGCCACACCCCCCCCTAAAAGAAAAAGAAAAAAAGAAAGAAATAATATCTGATCACGGGTCCGACTCTTTGTGACATTGGACACAGGAGATAAGAGGACAAACCTGAGCCGTGCCAAAATCCTAGGACAGAAAACTGGTCTCAACCTAACATGTTTCAGGCACTGGTGGCTAGAAGGGAATCTCCAGAGGGCTAACATTAGTGTAAACTGGTCCTGAGAGTCCTAACTTCACTCTGACTCCCCCAAAAGGGGACACTACATGAGCACCCAACGGGTCCGAGGCAACAAAATCGGAGTAATCAATGGGCCAAAATCAACAACCAATAGATCAGGCGCACAAATACGTAGGCAACAAATGGGCTAGAGGCACCAATACAAGGGCAACAAAATGACCAATCCCAAACAAACAATACATGGGTAATCAAATGGGCTAATCACACAAATAAATGAGCAACAAACAGGGCAAAAGGCACCAATGCAAGGGCTACAAAATGGCCAATCCCAAAAAGACACAGACAACAAGTGGGCCAATGGCACCAATAGAAGTGCAACAAAAAGGAAATTTTCCAATGCAGCCAATGGGTCAAATCAGACAAATACATTGGGAACAAAAATGGAACAAAAAGCACTAGTAGAAAAAAACGACAACAAAATAAAAAAATAAAAAAAAAAGGGGGGGGGGGGAGGGGAAGGGCAATCCCAACAATACACAGACAAACAAAAGCAAAATAAAAAAACAAACAAACAAAACACAAACCAAAAAAAACAACAACAACAAATAAAAACAAAGCATAACAAAACAAAAAAAAAGGGCTCATCAGGACTTTAGGTGGCCTACAAATGGCCATCTTCCCATCAGGATGCTGCAAGACTGAGAACAACCCCCGAGGTCTTCCAGTTGGAAGATGGGCGGTAGGGATCTCTGTTGGAGTAGCCAGAATTTTTATTGATTCTCTGGAGCCTGTAGGCCAATTCCTGAAACATCTCCAGGTCTTTTGCCTTCACCTAAGACAGGAAGTGAGGGTAAATCTCTGCAGCACAGATATAAAACCAGGCCAAGGGAGAGGAGAGAAAAGAGGAAGAAGGAGAAAAGAAAGGAAGAGAAGGAGAAAAGAAAGGAAGAAGGAAGAAAGAGAAAAGAAAGAAGGAAGAAGGAGAAAAGAAAGGAAAGAAGAAGGGAGAAAAGAAAGGAAGAAGAAGGAGAAAAGAAAAGGAAGAAGAAGAAAGAGAAAAGGAAGGAGAAAGAAGGAAAAAAAGGAAGAAGAAGAGAAAAAAGAAGGAAGGAAAAAAGGAGAAAGAAGGAAAAAAGGAGAAAAGAAGTTCCATCAGCAGCTGGTGCACTTCATGTCCCAGCAAGCTCTGCCTGAAGAGTTGCCTTCCACAGGCTGGGTTCACACGAGAACTTCAGGATCTCCACCCACATGTCCAGCTATCTGCAGCTCAGCTACATTTCCCGAGAAGCAGATTTGACTAGTTACGCCAACGACCTTAATGACATTATCCGCTGCCTTTTCCCATGCCGGGGACACGGCGAGGAGGAGAAGCCATTACCACATTAGGAAAAGCTTGGATTTTTTTTTTTTTTCCCCCCCGAAGGGCAACTGTAAAGCCTTCCCGATAGCGAGGAGAACGGTTTTATGATAAAACAGAGACACGGATTACGGAGCCACAAAAACGGTCGTAAAAAGATGATAAAGAATCCACAGAGCCCTTAATAGTCATTCACATCCTCGCAGACCAATCTGACTCATGTGGAGATTTTATTAGATTCCTCCATTTAAGCAGATGAAATTTAACAACGTAGGTAGAATAAATTGGGCGTAACATTTTTTTAAAGATCAAAAGATTTATTTGATACAAATCATTTCTGTGGATTTTGTGCAGTATAGACTGTAGATGGTCATGCAAAGCAGCTTACACTCCAAGGTCCCAAGCTCTACAAATGTGGTATAATTTGGTGCTGGGCAGGTACCTACCACAAAGAAGGGGTCCCTGGAGGGAGGCGGGGGGGGGGGGGGGGGCGTGTTGCGGGAAGTCACTGGGAACTCACTCTCTCATCCCCCCGAGAGACCTCTCCCTCGTCCCAAGAGATCCCCCCCCCCCAGACAACCCTCGTCCCAAGAGATCCCCCCCGAGGCAACCCTCGTCCCAAGAGATCCCCCCCCCGAGGACAACCGTCGTCCCAAGAGATCCCCCCCCCCCCCGAGGACAACCCTCGTCCCAAGAGATCCCCCCCCCCCCGAGGACAACCCTCGTCCCAAGAGATCCCCCCCCCCCCCCCCCCCCCCCCCGGCAGACAACCCTCGTCCCAAGAGATCCCCCCCCCCCCCCCCCCGAGGACCAACCCTCATCCCAAGAGATCCCCCCCCCCCCCCCCCCCCCCCCCCAGGACAACCCTCGTCCCCAAGAGATCCCCCCCCCCCCCGAGGACAACTCATCGTCCCAAGAGATCCCCCCCCCCCCCCCCCCGAGGATCTCCGCCCGCTACAACTCTCGTCCCAAGAGATCCCATCCCCCCCCCCCCCCCGAGGACAACTCTCGTCCCAAGAGATCCCCCCCCCCCCCCCCGAGGACAACCCCGTCCCAAGAGATCCCCCCCGAGGACAACCCTCGTCCCAAGAGATCCCCCCCCCCAGGACAACCCTCGTCCCAAGAGATCCCCCCTGAGGACAACCCTCATCCCAAGAGATCCCCCCCCCCCCCCCGAGGACAACTCTCATCCCAAGAGATCCCCCCCCCCCCCCCCCCCCCCCCGAGGACAACCCTCGTCCCAAGAGATCCCCCCCGAGGACAACCCTCGTCCCAAGAGATCCCCCCCGAGGACAACCCTCGTCCCAAGAGATCCCCCCCGAGGACAACCCTCGTCCCAAGAGATCCCCCCCGAGGACAACCCTCGTCCCAAGAGATCCCCCCTGAGGACAACCCTCGTCCCAAGAGATCCCCCCCCCCCCCCCCGAGGACAACCCCTCGTCCCAAGAGATCCCCCCCCCCCCCCCCCCCCGAGGACAACTCTCGTCCCAAGAGATCCCCCCCCGAGGACAACCCTCATCCTTTATAATAACCCGCCCTTACTATATTGAAAAAAAAAAAGGAGAAATGTCCTTTTTTACCTTAAAGTAAGTTAGTCAATATGACAGTCATGTGAAAACATGACAGTATTTACCTGTCATATGCCTTTAAGTGTTTTCTATATCTGGTCTCTGTTCCTCCCCCTTTCCTTTGGTTTAGTTTATGCTGTATAGATATCCCTCCCCTTTTTTCCAGTAAAGCATTGCAGCTTCTAGCCTCATGTCATGTAGCAGGAAACATGATCTTTTGACCTATCGAATGTTCATTGTTATAATATTCTCTCAGTTTATGGAATAAACTTAAGATCTACAAAGATGTCGTCTGGATTGAGTCACTGCCTGTGTTATTCAACTAAGATTGGAGTGATCGCTATCTCATCACAACTGGAAGTTACAGAGATCACACTATCAATGCTTAGATTGGAGAGACAGAACAAATAACCTTTCCCAAATAGGAAAAAAAAATGCTCCCATCCCACAAGGAACGCAAGGTGATTGCCTCTTTTAGGAAAAGAAAGCATGGCAAATATCCCTTCTGGGATAGGAAGACAGACAAATTTCCCCTGTGGGAAATGGGGCAAATGACCCCGTGGAACACAAAACAAAGCAGTGTCTATATAGGATGCGATGCCAGGAAAATGCCCCCACCGCCAGGCAAATGCCCCCACCGCACTGCAGCTGCTAATACTGTTGGAACAAAGCCGCCATGATTGCCTTTTCTGCCACAATCCCATTACA